TGCACACACAAATTCACAACATCTCAGACAGTTTTATGCATAGTAGTTACTTGAACGAAACCCGGTCTAGTAGTTGCTGTCAGCTTGATGGATACGAACAGATTCTACGATGCTCTAATTAGACCCAGAGTGGGAGGAAGGGACGTCGGTTGACAGGCACCACCAGCAGCAAAAAATGGCTGTTTACGCCAACTGACGCGTCCATTTATATAAACATTTACCGGTGTACGTTTAGCCAACACAGTAATTGCCTCGCTGATGCGAAATTCTGATAGTTACAACGGCTCCGTAGGTTGGACGCTGTCTGCTCCAGTCAAGACTGAAAAGACTTGACTAAACGGTCAGTCGAAGTGGCGTTACTCCACTTTTGTCTAGTTTGAATACACGGGAATGTAGAAAAAGTGGCGGTTGGCTATTCAGTTCGTGGAAGAAGATGATCAACCAGGAAGAACAGTTATGATTTGCGCGTTTGATCACAGAGACGATCCTCCACAGCATCTAACTCCCACTTTCTTCGTAGGCTCTAATGGCCCGGAAGTAAGGCAGTCCCAAAAACACTTACGTTGGCATGGAAGGGGAGTACGGCGTGTGTTATAAAAGCCACCATTAGTACGCAACCACACACGCATAAGCAGCAACCCCGCTCTCAGGACAGCTGTACCCATCGTAGCTAGTGATATGAAAAGGACGGCCTGCTCATAAAAAACTCCTCCAGAAACTAATAGGAGACTCTGAAAGAGATTAATAATTCATCTGAACCAATTGCGAAAAGCTCGGCTACCTCAATGAGACTCACGATAGCTACGATACAGTTAAACGGTTAACTACCGAAACTACGAAATTCCATCGGGAGTTGGTTTAGTGCTATCAATTATGACTGGAGTTTCTAGCTGAATTACTAAGAAGTCTTCCAAGTACTGCCTGGCTTATTACAACAAAAAGGATAGTGACCAAGCCAGCCATCCTCCATTACCGCAGCATCTTACAAATAAATACGACTTCCAAGTAGTCTATACCAACGTTGCGATCTTTGTTGGATAACCGCTGAGGTTGTTAGCTGGTACAATGAACCCCCAACATACACCACCCGAGCTGGGAACTCACCGTAGTAATTTCATTCAGGGCAGTATCAGCACCGAGGGAGAAGTCTGTTCCTGGTACGTTGTTGCTAATTGTGGCCGGAATCATCACCATTGGGATGCAGAGTTCCTTGAACTGCTTTCGACCCTCATCCAATTCAAGCATGCACTCAAAGGCCTCAAAACCGCCAATCACCATAAGACCATTGATATTATGTTCGCCAAGCCGGGCTGCAACTGCCTCAATTCCCATTTGGTTTGGTGTGTCGCTGGAGAGGAGGAAGAGTGAGGGGAGGGTGAGTCAACGAACAGATTAATTAGGATTAATGGAAGGCAGTTCAACGGTCAGTTCAATAATGAACGCAAGCGTTGTGGCTGTTGCGTTTTTTGGGCCTAATAGGCACCGTGTTAGCGTCCAATGTGAGGGGGATTAACGAGCACAAATGTCTTATTCCATAGGGTTTTTCAATCACACAAGACTCTGGCAAAATGGTATTGATTGGTCAGCAGAAATGAGCAATCTACCACTTTGCATTTTAGCAAGAGGAAATGTACGTCTGCTGGACATAAACCCACACCACATGCACAAGAACGCTGTGCTGCGGCTTCGGTCCAAGTAACCTCATCTAAAGAAGCTTATGTAAGCTCTGGTCCTCCTTGTCATGCAACACCGAGGCGAATAACTTCCAAAGTGCCTTCTCATCGCGTCGATATGCTGTAATAGCTAGCAGATCCCTTCGAAGTAGCTTAAACTAGTGGATTGGCACAAGCTCTG